ATCTTTGTGCTCAGATTTCTTTGCTCTGAAGGGTAAGTTTTACAAAGCTGACAACGGGTAGCAACAGGTAGTGGCCCCGGGTATCATGCCTGCCTATCAAAGACTTGGATTTTAGCCCTGGAGAAATTACAGCCTCTCAGTACTCTGGAAGCTGTACTGTCCAAGAAGAAAGCCAAAGAGTAATGAATGACCTAACTAAAAATTATTTTAATACATGGATTGCAAACTCTGAGCCATAAACTCAGGAGTGTAGAGAGAACTCGGATAAAATGTGAAGGAAGAAAACATCTTGTATTGACAGGAACACCATAGCCACAGATGACAAAAGACAATCAACTTGGGCTGCTGATAGCAAAGTCATCTACTGGAGTGGCAGAGGCTGAATGCAAAGTACGGGTCCAGCAGATAAATCCCTGGAGACAAAGGAAGAAGTTCAGCAGTTCAGGCTGGAAAAGACAGTGGAGAAAAGACAGGTTAGGAAGTCATGAGTTGAGGAGCCAGCCAGTACATATGTGGAGAAGAGAGAGGTAAATCCAGTGAAGCTGCACAGATGTGAATAAAACGGCATTTGGCCCTGTGGCAGTCCCTGAATGCTGGAAGTTTACAGCTTCATTGCTACACATCCTTCTGCAGGACTTGGAAGCCATCCTGGCCACCTCTCTGCTGGGTGGCAGGTGCAAGCAGGCACACTTCAGCTCTCACCTGCTGTCCTTAGGCGCCCATACACTGACTGTACAGGGGATCTTCCCACTGCCAAAACAGCTCAGCTGCTGCACACTGCCAAAGCAAGTTTGCCACCCATGCAGTCTGAGGATGGTGGCTTCGGGGCCGGGAGAAGGGGTGAGCCGACCTGACGCGCAGAAACACACACCATCATCCACTTTGCATCTGCACAGGCACAGTCGCTCTGCTGTATTCCTGCAACATCCATTTTAATCCAGTGTTCAGCAGTGAAAACAAACTGCCAAACCGAAGGCCCAGAGTTACAGTCAGAGACTTTTTTTTGAAACCCCGCAAGAGACTCAAACTGTTTCAGCTTCCTCTCCCAAACACCAGCCTTGAGCCATTCTTGCCTGGCTGGCGGAAGCCTGTGACATGAAATAAAAGCCAGGAAATATGACTTTCTGAATAAACATTTATTTGGTGAGAAATACTTCTGATTTTTTGGCAGAGAAATGGCAGAAACCTGAAGCCCTATGTATAGCATGCCTGCAGAGAGCAATTTCTATTTAAAGGGAAGCTGCAGCTGTCTGTAGCTCTTAATGAAGAATAATGCCTAGGAATAAATTACTGCCGTTTCTGAGAGACATTTCTCAAATTAAAGCGATTCTTCCCTTCTTCCCTCTCACTATAAATACCAAGTGGCATGTACTGGGCAGTTGTCTAAAAGAACGGACACACACAGCTCTGCTCTTTTATCAGCAGCCTCGTAATTTCCATAGAAAACCATGAAGTGGTTTAGCATACGGATACCCAAGCGGCACAAAAGCGAAGACATCCAGAAACATTAGGTCTGCATGTGTCAAAGCTTCCCATCACTCTTCCAAGGTGTGTACAGCTCAGAACAGACACAGGGCATCGCTTCCAACCACGCCATAAACCCGGTGTTGAGGCTCCAGGCGTGGGAGATGGCCACTCGCAGAAAACCACTGTAAAATGCTCGCCAACCTTCAATTTTCGTCACTGGTACGTGCCTCCCCCCGAGGGGCTGCAGCAGCAGCAGCGCAGGCAGCAGAAGGTGATGCTCTGGGGAGAGGGTGTGCCTGGGCTGCCGCCAGCCTGGCCAGGCAGCTCAGGAAGCAGCACTGACATCAGCTCCAGGAGCTGTGTCGCTCCCAGACCCGCCACAGGCCCAAGTGCCAGAAAAAACAGTCCGCAGCCAGAGCGGGAGTATGGATGAGATAGGACCACGGGAAAGGGAGCAAGGAGGGCCAAAGAGTAGAGAAAAGAGGCAGCAGCTCAAAACTGGGATGGAACCTAGGCTAAGCCATGTGCAGCCGCAGTCTCCAGGATCCTCTCTGGGATCACCCCTTAGAGCAGCAGCTTCCCAGGTGGGGCATAGAAAGTCTGTCCCAGTGAGAAGCAGGGATGTTTACTATCCTACCATCTGCAGTTTGCCCAAAATAAATTACAGATATGAGATCAACTAACCACATTTCTTTTTTTGACACATTCTGGATTTAGAGATTTATTTTCCATTTCCCACAAACCATGCCAGAGGTTCTCGCAAAAGTGCAAAAAAAAATATTGCGAAGAAAATGTCTGAGAGTGAGGAACACGAAGAGTTATTCATTGCTCCTGTTAAAATGTGTTTGTGCTTGTGTGGCTAGCACTCCAAAAAAGCTGCGGCATATGTTTTCAGGATAGAAAAAAAACCAACTCAGGATACCTAAATCCTACCAGAAAATTACAAAACTGTATGCTGGAATTCACAAGGTCCCCTCCTGCGAGAGCAAAGGAGCCTTGCCTCGCTTCATTTTTTTGCCCCTTGCTAAGTGAAATAAACATTCCTCCTTAACAAGCCCTCCTGACATCCTTTTTTCTCTCCTAAGAAGTGGAACATGGACTTGATTTGTACAAGCTCTGCTATTCCAGAAATGTGCTTCATCCAAATGAAGAGAGCAGAAAAAAAGGAAGCAAGAAATTAGTACTGTTTAGTAAACAGGCAGTTTCTAGGTGGATACAAGACACTGGTCCCGATTTACTGCACCCCTCCCTCCCCACACCCCACTTTCGCTGAAATTTGCCTGGGTGGCAGGAGGAGGCAGCAGAAGGGAAGAGAACAGCTACCACTTGCAGTGGGAAAGGTTTGATTGCTTTCTGCAGATCTTAACATGACAACACTCTGCAAACAGGGAAGAGAGAGCAGTATTTTTCAGTAAAATCACTATATACTGGCATTTCCTTTCAGGATAAACACCATTCCTCCTCCTCTCTGGTATTCTTGTCTCCCTGAAAGGATAAAGGAAAGAGGAGAGGAGAGAGGAGGAGCCTGGCCAACTGCCTCCTTCTTGCAACAGTGTCCTCTGAGCAGAAGCCAGGTGACAGAATACACTCTCAAGGAACTTCTAAAAAGCTCTCCATCACCTCCAAATGACTCCCCAAAAAAGGAACCAGTCTTGGATGCCAGCGTAAGAGCCATTCTCAAGAACGCTTTTTCCCATCCATACCTGGTGAGAAGAGTGCTGCTTTTTCTGCACAAACCCAGGCCTCGTGAGTGAAATTCAGGGTTTTGGCACGGCAATAGCAGAATACCATGCTGTGCTTTAAATGGGATCATTTTAAACCACTTTAGGACAGGGCAGAATGTAACGATCACACTGACAGCATCTTCAACAGATATTCCATCCCCTGTAATGGCTGATGATTGCCTCCTCTCATGCAGTTTGTCTGGCTGATACGGCACACCACATATCTTAGAGGACCTGGGGAATGCTCTTCACCACATGAGGTGGTGATGCTGTTGCAATCAGTGGAGGTGATTGCAACATCTTGAACAAACATCTGTTATCCCAACAGCTCTGCATGGTAGGACAGTTTATTATTATTATTATTTAAGGCTGTCCTCTTCTGTTCTAGGATGCCAGCATGCAAAGTAAGCTCTTGTGGTTTCAAAGAAGTCTTTCAAAGTGTGGGAATAGGCTGATATGGCCATGTCTGCTTGGATACATAGACAGTGAGAAGCTTCAGGTCTCAGAGGCCCCTTATTCATCTTAATGAGCTACCAACTTAGCAGCTTAGTGGTACTAGTAACTAACAATTTCAAATGTCAGCTTTTTTGACTATTTCACTGTAGATCAAAGCATGCAGGAAAGGCAAAAGATGATGAAAATTTTTCAGTGTCTTCTCTAATATTTCCTTTGCAAGTGGTTCTTGAAAAGCAGCAACACTTGGACTCTGTCTCAATCTGCTTCCCAAAGCCTGAACCCAAAGGGAAAAGCAGAGCAAAGGAGGGAATCCAACTTTCAGGGAGCTAGAAGGCATCCCAACAGTAAGAAAATATATTTATATCTACTACATTTATGGAAAGTGCAAAACCTAATTTGATCAAACTAGAAGACTCTGTAGCTTGTTTTATCACTACTAACATCCTGAAGGACCATTGCATACTTTAAATACTAAGGCATAAGGATTTAAATACTAACTTGCCTAACTTGGAAATCCCCACAGTTCCTTCTTAAGACAAAAATGAGGGTTATTCTAAAACCTGGCAGGCAGAGAACTCTTATTTTCCTCTTTTTGTGAGGATGTTTACATTTGAGCTGCATGTTTGTCCATTTACACCCAGAAAAGCAGTGGACTTCAAGAGAAAAACAATGAACATAAAAAAATATTTATGCCTTCTCTTTAGCCATGCCTCATGGGAATATTTTCTTTTATTAAATACCACAGCTGGATCAAGATCTTAGTTGAGTGACTGTGTTTCCTTCTGAAAGGTGTGCTACTCCAACTCCCATGAACACAAACCTCTGCGAGGAGCATTTGTACTGAAAATACTCAAACTAATATGACAAACTGATGAATATCAGGCACAAATGACTACATTTTCATTCCTATAATCTGAAAGTGGTCAAATTAATTTCAACCACTGTATAAGCATGTATAAAACTCTTTCACCTGTAGACTGCTGAACTGTTACCCATAATATTTTTCATTCTTATTAGGCCACAGAGTCATGTGGCCTTTCAATGCAGCATTACATATTTAAATAAAAGCAACAGTAATATGTTCAAAAACTGTAGTAGTCCAAGGAAAAGAAACCCAGTGTCTTTCCTTAGATAACACTACTCTGCCCTTGAATACATTAAAAGGAAAAAAAAAAAAAGGAGGGAGAGAAATTCAAGTCTGGCTTTGCAGCCCAACCAAAACACACCTGTCTTTTGTTTCAGCAGAGCAAAAAGATGCTCAGTGCATCGCAGGGAAGGGAGCAAACACTAGGGCAGATACCGCCTCCCAAAAGACACAATTGGAAGTATTTGTTATCATTAGTAGCAACTCACAACATTCACTATGTTCTTCTTCGGGGAATTCTGGATTATCCTTTTGCATGAAGGTTTTTCAGAAATCACAGGTCCTCACTGGCTTTTCTCTTTCAAATAAAGTAAGATAGAGCTGTAAAACAAAAGCAAAACCAAGTGAGAAAGGAAAGCAAGGAATACAAAGAGGAAAATCCACAGAACTATTCAGCAAATGAACAACTGATTCCTACATCTCCTTAAAGCAAATGCATTTTTAATGAGTTCCCAGGACAGAGATTCCAGTACAGAGTGAGTGTGTGGCAAACACTGATCTGGGATAGGAGGAGTCATTTGCGTTGTACGTCTTATTGCCAACAATTAAAACCCAGTTCAGAGTTGCTGAAGCAGATACATAATTAAAATAATTCTTGGATACTTCTGTTGCTATAACAAGAGGAAGAAAAAAACTACTTGGAGCTGTTGCTGTTTAGAAAAGAGTCTGCAAATAAAGTCTGCGGTGTGCAGAGAGATCCGTGAAGATTTCTGTTCTCAATGAACTCCTCTAAAGGAATGCAAACACCTATCTATTTCTGTGGTTATTGGTAATATGACAGCAGAGGAGGACTGAAAACAAAAATACACACACTATATTTCCTTGGTAGGAAATATTTTTCATATCTGAGATTTTTAATATTGCATGGTTAGTTTTTTTTGTGGTTTTTTTTTTTTTTTTTTTTTTTTTTTTTTTTTTTTTTTTTTTTTTTTTTTTTTTTATTTTTTTTTTTTT